CGCGCGCACGCGGCTCCGGCCACCCTTCCGCCCAGACCGAGGCCCCCGAGCCCCGAGCTCCGACCTGGGCGGGGTCCAGGGCGCAGACGGGCACCGGGGCCGCGCTGAACACCTCCCAGGCCGTGGCGCCGAAGCCCCACTTGTCGGCCTCCAGGCCCAGCGTCTGCGCGCCCTGCAGGCACTCGGGGGCCACCCAGGGGATCCTGTCGGCCAGCACTGCGGGCGCGCGGGCGCGGGGCCGTCAGAGATCCGCCCTGCGCCCCACCGGCCCCTCCTCCGCCCTCGCCTCCGGGCACTGACTCTCCGGGCTGAGCACCGTGGGGCTGACCCCGGGGTCGCTCAGCTTGATGAAGGGGGGGCTCCCGTCCGCCCCCTCGCGAGCCAGGAGCACCTTGCGCGCCGAGACGTTGCCGTGGGGAAGGCCCTTGTCCTCCTAGGCGGGCCGGGCACAGGGAAAGGCCAAGGGGGGTTTGACGGATGAATAGTCTGCTTGGAAAACTCCTATGCATCCCTCAAAGCCCACCTGGCGCTGCTCAAACAACCTCCAGCACCCTCCCCAGACTCCTAGCACCCTGTCCCACCTCACGCCGACCTGCGTCCCTTCCCCGTCTCCCGCATCACCCCCACCCTTTGGACCCCCACTGGCAGTTGGGGCAAAGTCGGATCTCCGCGGCCTGGCATGCAAGGCCCTCCCTCGCTCTTCCCTGAAGCTTCTCTTCGACACCCCGGCCTTGGCCTCCACACACTGCCCAGCCCGCAGGCCTTCTTCCTCGGCCTGACACGCCCGCCTTCCTTTCTCTTCCTGATGAACTCCTATTCAACCATCAACGCCCCGGCTCCAGTGCCCCCTCTTTCAGGAAACCTTTCCGCCGTCCAGCTCGATCACCTGCTACTCCCTTGACGTGCACGAATGCCTGGCTGCCCCTTGCTAGTGCTCTCACGCCCCTCGGCCTGCACACCTGCCCCTCCCTCCAGCCTAAGATGCCCTCCCCTCCTGCTCTTACCAAACTCCTAACCGTGCTACAGAGCCCACTCCTAATGACCCCTCGGCCCAGAGGACACCTTCCCTGCAAGCGGAGGGTGGAGGGGCGGAGGAGCACTCACCAGGTAGTTGAGGGCGTAGGCCAGCTGCTTGGTCACCTGCAGCTTCCAGCTGGCTGGCACCAGGTGGCCGCGCTTGCGCAGGTAGGTGTCTATGGCTCCCAGGTGCACGAACTCCTGCACCATGGTGCCTGGGCAGGGAGCGGCAGGGTTGGTCAGCGGCTCTGCCCCCCTCTACCCTCCTCCTCCTCCTCCCCACCCCACCTGTCAGATATCAGCCTGCAGCGCCTGCAAGGTGGGAGTCCCGCCTGCACCTCAGTCCCAGGCTCCTCCTCCTTCTCCTCTCCCCTGCGTCCTCTGCCTGAAATGTGCCTCTTCCTTCCCCCCTGGTTCACACTTTTTTTTTTTTTTGATACAAGAGTCTCTGTCGCGGGCTAGAGTGAGTGCCGTGGCGTCAGCCTCGCTCACAGCAACCTCAGACTCCTGGGCTCAAGCGATCCTCCTGCCTCAGCCTCCGAGTAGCTGGGACTACAGGCATGCGCCACAATGCCCGGTCATTTTTTCTATATATATCAGTTGGCCAATTAATTTCTTTCTATTTATAGTAGAGACGGGGTCTGGCTCTTGCTCAGGCTGGTTTCGAACTCCTGACCTTGAGTGATTCTCCCGCCTCGTCTCCCAGAGTGCTGGGATGACAGGCGGAGCCCGCCGCTCCAGCCCTGATTCACACTTGGCCTCGCCTTTCCGCATCCTCGCTCAGCGCCGCCCCGCCTCCCCGCCTCCCCACCTCCAGCGCCGACCCTCCATTGCACCCACTGGCCGGGCAAGCGCTAGCGAGCCTCAGAGCAGCTCAGGGCGGGCGCGGGCGGGGACCTGGAGTTGGCCACCCCCGGGAGTGATGAGCGAGGGACGTGAGGACCGGGATGACGGACCGGGACACGCGCCCCATGGGGCTGGGCCGGGCACTGTGGGCGCCTCGGCGGCGGGAGGGGGACTGAGAGCACAGGCGGGGGGGGGGCTGAGACACAGGCGGGGGGAGGCTGAGAGCACGGGGTGGAGCGAGACCAGGCGGGGGAGGCTGAGAGCACAGGCGGGGGCGAGGCTGAGAGCACAGGGGGGGGGAGGCCTGAGAGCAGGCGGGGGGGGGGGGCGGACAGCACACAGGGGGGAAGGCTGAAGAGCCACAGTGGGGAGGCTGAGAGCACAGGCGGGGGAGGCTGGACAGGGGGGCTGAGAGCTCACAGGCGGGGAGGCTGAGAGTACAGGGGGGAGGCTGAGAGCACAGGTGGGCAGGGGGCTGAGAGCACGGGGCGGGGGAGGGGGAGGCTGAGAGCACAGGCGGGCGGGGCGGGGGCTCACTGTCTTCCGCATGCACACGCCGGGA